AATCCAACCATGAAAAAGCAAGACCTTGGCACCCCTGATGATGGGAAAAAGGAGCCCTCGCGCCAAGCCCTTTGGATTGCAATTGAGCAAATTGAGAACGACCGATCTCACTTTCTACACTAGGGGTTTTGACCTTCAGCCCAGGTGAGACTTCGACTGGCGGCCAAAGCGCGCATTCGACGCATGATCACTCCCAAGAAGAAGAGAACAGATCTTGCAGCCCCAGAAACAGTGCAAGAGCAGTGGAAGAAGGGCACACTTGCCCGTGACGAAATGGCTGAACTTTTGGTTGCCTCCAACTTCCGGAAGGACCTTTCGTTTGTTTTTGGTGCAAAATTTTGTTCAGTCAAAACCCACACTTGCACTCCCTTCTTGTTGTTCTAGCTTGACTGGATGATCTAGTCACAGCCGCTGCAGGAAGAGTTCTTTGATCGCCTGCAGATCATTGTGACCTCCAAGCAGTCATTCAAAATCACTCGGGACGAGGGATGGTATAGCGAAGCGGAAATGAAGGGGGAGTTGGCGTGGTCCGCGTGGGGAGCTTACGTCAATTTTCATCAGGGGAGATTCAATTGACACACATGGTCCCTCGACATGTCAGGTCCAAAGTAGCAGGAGCCAAGCGGTTTTGCATGGACCGTGCATCCACGCACACAAGGCGATCACTGATTTGGTTTTTCTTTGGTTTGTTTTATTGGGATACCAAGCGTGTTGCCGTGCCAGGCAGAACCAGTACGACAACGAAATGGAGTTCTGGGTCTGTGTGAGAGAGACCGGATCTCATACCCAGAAAAGATCAGAAGAAGAACGTCACACATCCTCGTCCAAGGCCCCCAAAATCGAGTCTTTTAGGGCCAACATGTGGCGAACGTGTTTCCCTTTTCCCTGCCTGAATGGCCCGCCTCGCAGGCTGACCAGGCGGCCAAGCTCTCAGAGGGCGCCTTCAGCAAGCTCAAAGACCTCGATGCCAGATCGGCCGCGGAGACCAAAGTGGCAACAGGCAACAAAGAGGCTGAACCTAGCAACTCCGATAAGGTGCCATTGGGGTCAAAACTTTGGATGCGAAATCCCCCTGCACACATGTTTGCCTCTACTTGCCCCTGTCAGCACGCTGATGATCTCAAGAGATTCCTCGAGTCCCTTCTGACAAAGACTTCAAAACTACGATCTGTCATGCGAGATCTGCAGAAAAACTATGCTGCAGATGACCGAGCAAAGGAGTGGGGGCCTTTCATGGTGCCGGCCAAGATTAGGGTCGCATCGTCAAATCACAAGAGCTTTGAAACAATTTTGCGAGCACACCCCAACTTTGTTTTAGGTCATTGGCCAGCTTGGACGTGGAAGTGCGCAAGCTGGATGAGCAATATGATGTTCTTCATGATCAGCTCGCAAAGGGACAAAACCTTAAGTATTCCGAAGCGTGCCTTGCCCTGCCTTATGTGGGAACCGCTTTGGGTTTTGCGCGGATCTTGGAGCCCAGGTGGTGGAAGGAAGCCGAAAAGAAGCTGGAGCATGCAACATACGTGTCCCTTTCTTATGAACAAATGTTGTGGGTCGATGGGTAGGGTCAATGGTGGACAATCGCCCAGCCATCCCCTGCTAAGGTCTGGGCGAGCCATAGCCGCAGAGAAAAAGATCCGGATCCTTGGCAGATTGGGACTTGTCAACCGTGCGGCCCTTTGTTGTTTGCACCCGTTGTCCTCTGTGCGTGGCGTGCGTGTTTTCAAGTAGCAAGGAACGCCAAGAAGTTCTTCAACAAAGCCGATGCTGATGAGGGTGCCGGGAAACCTTCAAAGAGGGCGAAGGTTCCTAAACAAGACAATGCGGAAAATGCCGCTCCCAAAAAGAAGGCCAAGCATGGCAACCCTAAGGGAAAGCCTTGAGTGTGTTCGGGTAAAGAAAGCTCCGGACAAGTAGTTTAACGCGGCAGGTGGCTTTAGGCTGTCCCAACCGGTTCCACTAGTCAAGGCGAACATCAAAAAGGGATTTTCAAAGCATGTGCAATTAACGTGCTTGCTCCTTCGTTCTGGTTGGGTGGCTGGGGCAGCGGGCCAACAACGCGTGATGTTTGATCAGAATCCTGAACCAGCGATCCGTTCTGGCTGGGGTGTGCTACATTTCACACAGTGCCGGGGGAAACACCTGTGTGCGTGGCTAGAGCCTGGCCTATGTCAAAAAAACCCGCTGATTTGAGTGGCCGGATGTTGCATCACCGTGAAAAGCTCAATTTTGAACATTCTTAGTTTCCAATCAATGTGTGCCCGGCCAGGCGCTGGCCCGGCTCTTCGGCGATGCGTGCAAGACGTTGGCGAAGGGGTTCCTTGGAATGACCAACTAGTCAAGTTGTTGGGTGTTTTGTTCCACGTTGAATTTTCACCAACAAACGGTTTCGGGGCGCACCACCTGAGGTTGCCTGCACCACTGCTATTCGGTTTGCAAAGGCGGTTGAGGACGAAGTCCCTGAAGCAGCTATGTCCAGTTTACATGCCTTGGCGCGTTGCTCGGAAGCTCATTCAGAACGGGATGTTGACAGGGTTGCTCGCAAGTTCAAACTTGCTATCCCAATACCATTGCACAGTGTGGACATTGGGAAGGGGGTCATGGTGGACATCCTGAGAATGACTAGCTGGGCAAAGTGGCTCTTGCAGGAAACAAACCTTGGGTATACTTTGACTGGCCAAGCAACACGTAACGCAGAACACAGTGAGCGCATATGGGCCGACTTTTGGCAGAACTACGCCTCCATACATCCAGCCCATCCTATTTTCTCCAGGGCCGCAAATGACAAAGAGTTCAGTCTGAGCAGGACATATTGCCTAGCGCTCCACGGTGATGAGGGCCGAACTCGGAAAAAGTCGGCGGTGATGATCTTGAGTTGCCACAGCATCTTGGGCCTTGGTAGCCGCCCATCGGAGCACAAGAAAGGGAAAGGAGGCTTGCTGGGTGAGATGAAAGTCAACTGCGTTGGCTCGACCATGACAACAAGGCACTTGCTTTCCATCCTCCCCCGCAGCTACTACGATGACTCAGCTGAAGGCGACCCATTTGAAACCCTTGTTGAACACATTGTCGGTGACTTGAACCAGCTTTACTGGGAAGGAGTGGTTGGTTTGGATGGCAAAAGGTATTTCTTTATCGTTACCCACCTGATGGGTGACTGGCCGTTTCTCAACAAGCTGGGAAAATTCACGCGGTCGTTTGCCAACGTGGCAAAAGCGGAGAGCTCAAAGACGGCCCCCAAGGGAATTTGCCATGTTTGTTGCGCCGATATGGAGGGCTACCCGTGGGAGGATTTCGAATCACCAGAACCAAAGTGGAGATCAACCCTCAACACTCTTAGCCCTTTCCCAGAAGACCCGCCAGCTGTTCTACGTTTGGTGCATGACACATCGGATGATGTTGGCTTTTTTGCCCAGGATTTATTCCATGCCTGGCATATTGGAGCTGGCAAGGTGCATTTGGGGAGCATGATCGCACTTGCCACATCGCTTTTCCCTGGGAGAGGTGTTGATGCCCGCTTTGAAGCTATAACAGCTCATTTGCTTCGATGGGCAAAAGAACGCAAGGTGCAGATCTATATCCGCAAGCTCACCAAGGAATGCATCCACTGGAGCTCAACAAACCAGTACCCAGTGGGGGGTTGGAGCAAGGGTTCAACAACATTGGCGCTCACAAGGTGGATGCTCCACCTTTGCGAGGAGTTTGCTGGCGAAATCTCTGAGGGATCCCTTCTCTACCTGGGATTGCGGGCGCTCAAATGCATGAACTTGTTCCTATCCAAATTGTATAGGGAAAATGTGTGGATAGCAAGCAACAAGGCGTTGGTCATCGCTCAGCACGGCTTTGACTTTTTGAGATGGATGGGGCGGGCTGCCAAAAAGGCAAATGAAGAAGGGGAACTCTTCTACATCTTTATGCCGAACCACCATAGAATCCATCACATTTGTTTTGCCCTTTTTGACGAGGCCAGGCGTTCGCACCTGGCCTTGTCACCTATATGCTTTGCATGCCAAATGGATGAAGATTACATAGGCAGGGCCGCACGGCTGTCCCGCCGCGTGAGCCCGCGCCAATCCATCCAGAGAACAACAGAACGAATCCTGAAATTAGCCTACAGCAAATATGTTGAGGCTGGGTACATAATCAAGACTCTATAGAACGCCTGCGACCGTGGAAGCCCGCCACATTGGGGTCCCCGGCGAGTTTCACGAGGAACACGGCCAGGACGAAGCCAAAAGGCCCAGGTGCGCGGGCATTTTCGAGCAACCCATTCTCAACCCCCATGGTCTTTACTTTGGAAACCCGGGTTTTCATGTTGAAAACCTGGTTTTCAGGCCCCTCCTACTTTTTTGTGGGAGAAGGGTTTCGAAGGTTTACCATGGATGGTTTCCCCTGACCTGCTATAGTGGCTTGCTTGGCTAGGTCCTCCGGTAGAGAGATTAGAATAAGGGTACCCCTTTTTCTGTAGTCTGTTTTAGTGGGGGAAGCCTCCCCCAAAAAAGGGTAAAAGGGCACTACTGGGGATCTAGTTGGAAGCGAGCCCGGGCTGTGATTGAGGCGCAATCTATGCCCAAGCCATACAAGGTTGAAGGCATTGCAAGGCTCCGAATTCGAAGCCTCATTCCAGCAACTCCACTTTGTTTTGGTTCAAAAGAAACAAGAATGTCTGAAGTGACTCAGCTCACACAACAGTCAACCACAACATGGAACAAATCTCCCTCGCCTCGGAGTGTACGCTTTGTCCGCAGTGAGGGGCATGTTTGAGGGACCCAGTTTTAGGATGGTTCCAAGGAAAGTCAACGTGAAACCGAAGCTTTGCGAGATATCCCTTGTCGAGCATCCCAAAAAGCTGCTTCAAACTGCGTTGCTTCTCTGAGCAAAAGGTCCTTAGACCCTTTGTAGCTTGAGTGGAAAAGCGATTTTTTGGTTTCTAAACCTTTAAAGGGGCGATTCGGTGACACCAGCCATGCAAGCCTAAGAAAATCAACTCGTCCAGCCGCATAGTAGCCCACGAAGAAGGCCGCAAGGAAGTCGATGGTCCAGAAAGTGGCGGAGAAGACCGTCATGGCAAAACTCGGAACAGGCAAAGAGATCCCCAGAGGGTCCAAGTACCTTTTCAGGATGGTGCTTGAGGGGTCAAAGCACCTCCTCAGAAGGTATTTGGACCCTTTGGGACTTCCAGATCGATCCCCAGACCAAAGTCCTCCAGATTTGAGAGGTTGGAATAAGTTAGTACCGATTATTTTTTCTATAGTCTAATTTAGTAGGGGAACCCTCCCCCAAAAATGAAACGGTCAAAGCTTGCACTACTGGGGGACCTGGAAAGACTTCCAGATCGATCCCCAGACCAAACTCCAAAGAGGAAACTTTCACTCTTCAGTCCGGGGGTGGGGAATCTCCATTTGCCCTATAGAACCGTGGGTTCAAATCCAAATTCAAATCACAAGTCCAACTTTGTTGCTGTCAACCACTCTGCCAAAAAGTGTTTGACTTTTTGTGGGTTCAATGGAAAACCAACTTGATTTTCCGGAAACAGTTGCAAAGTCTAAACATCCAACCCAATAGCAATCAAAGATATGACTGTCAAGCCTGATTAGGAGATTATTCACCCCTAGTGTACTCGGATTTTTGTCTTATGCTTAAGAAGTGTTTCAGGGGTTTGCTTGCACAACCTTTGATAGAAGAAACGCAGTTGAAGATCAGCTACCTTTGAAGTGCAAAATGTGCGAACAGTTTCCGCATTGTTGCTATGCGTGTTTGCGTGTGTGTGTGTGTCGGTTGGGTAAACATCAATGAGCTCAAGCAAACAGACCCTGACTTGTGCCCTCGTGTCTAGCCATTCTCTCTTTCGGTATATATGTGGTGTCCCATGTAGATAGTCATACAACCCATAACAATAGCCCCTCCCTGATTCATAAATGCACCCTATCTATAAATGTAACTTTTTCCCAGAATCTCAAATCTCCCAATGCTACAATAGAGTTAGCCAATACTAGACCAAAACTAAACCAGCAAGTGTCATGCCGCCCCGACTCCAGTCATATTCGGGGACACTCTAGAACCAATACTAACTAGCACGATACTACACCTAATCTAAACCAATTCGAAACCAACACAAATCCGAACAAATGCCATTTGGACAAGGACTGCAGCAGCAGCCCTGGTACACAGATGTGCCCCAGCAATAAATCTTGCTCTGCCCCCAGCCGAATATGTTTATTTGGGGCGCATTTTAGATGAGGGGAAAGGGATCATTCAATTCCATATGTCAGATGATATATAAGCACACACACAGGCACGCACACACACCCCAGCGCTACCACTATACCAGGGTGTCTTACCCGACATGATTGTGTGCCCTGGTTCCTACTCTATTGATAACTGAAAGTAATGGACGCATAGAACGCTCTCCAACGGGGACGGGCCCCTTGTTGTTTCAACCCCAACCTGTGTTTGTTGGGCCCACAAACCAAAAGGTAAAATACAAGGATGTCAATTGGTTTGGGATTGGAGAAACAAACAGGGCCCCTCTCAGACACAGCTTTCTCTTCCTTCACTGCATTGACTCTGCAAAATCTCCAAAACAAAAACCATTGAACTGCATCATCCAAAGCAATGGCACTAACTCAAAACCAACACAACCTATGAACATATGAGCTAGCTGGGTGACTTCCTCAGCCAAGGGATCCTCTTTGGAAAACCACTAAATCCACAGGGAAAGAAATGGGTATATAAGCTGTTTCTCGCTGTGATCTAGTATCCACCTCTCTTGACCAGACTCGGACTTGCAAAAAGCGAACCTTTTTCTTGGTTTAAAGGGAAACTGATGGAAACCCGAAGGGCAACATGTCGCAAAGGTAAGTTACGTCTGAACCACTCTCGTTACACAGGGTAAGGAGTAAATGAGGAGCCCAGCTTGTAGTGGAATCTCGTTTGGGGTTCTGGGTGTTGCCAACATTGCAAGTTAGTGGGAACTTCTGCTTCTGGTAGAGGGTAACTGGGAAACCCCCCCCCAACCTATCCAATCCAAACCACTGGAGGCAAGCTGGTGTCCGAGGCACTCCCAGCTAGAAGTCTCCAGATCGAAAACAGACAGCGGCACCATGACCATGTCCTCGGGTCAGGGGTTCTGTATCTTGGAGGTGTGTAGTCTGTTGGGGGGCTGAGGATGGCGCCAACCCATCCATTTTAATTTTGAGGAGGTTTGTTTTTTCAGTTTCACACTGACCGGGTCCATGGGCCCATAGTGAGACATTGGAACATGGAATCTTGATCAATTGACGGGTGGCTTCCGTTGAAACCGCTTTCCACTTTCGGACCCTTGAAAGGGCCACTCGGGGTTCCCATTCCGACGGCTCGGGTGACGGACCTTCTGTCCCAAATCTCCGTGCATCGCACTTGGTCAGGGGGTCTCCCCAAAACCATGCAAAGACCTGGCGGAGATCCGCATTCATGGCTGGGCCTGTACCTTACTTCCCGTCTTCTACCCGAAATTTGATGGTGGCTAGTTCAAGGTTGACTCGAAGTTGGACACTCATCACGTGGAGACTCGCTTCGGAACACGAGGCAAGGGGCTGACAAGGAACCACATTCCTTGACATGAGTCTGTGCTATGAACACCTGACAACATGGATTTGCATGAAACGATGCAGGAGCTCAACCTGGAACTTTCCGCACATATAAAACGGAGCCAACCCTGTCTCTCAAAGCCTGCGATGCCAACACCTTTGTGATTGAAGACTGTCGCCTTTTCTAGCGTGTCAGCCCATACAGTGTATGAAAAGGCATCCATGAGATATGGCAAAAACAGAAACTCAATCCGCTCTGGCACCCATTGAATCCCCGGACCCACAAAGCAACATGTTCGGTGTTGCCGGCTTTCGCGACTGTCCAAACACATGCGCGATGTCGTACATGTCATACGCGGTAACATTTTGCCAGTCTCTCATATGTTGTTCCTACAGTTGTTCTTCCATTTGCTTAAGTCCACTGGAATGAATATTTCCAGTAGTGACAGATTCCCTTCAAAACCAGCAGGGGAAAATAAAACATGTCCTTAACTAAGCAAATGGAAGTTTTGTAGAATTAAGGGTTGACAAGCTCATAAAGTGGAGACCCCCTGCTTCAAGGCCAGTCCCCCTTTTCATATAAAGCCCTTCTGAGGGTTGAACATAAGTCAACCATCACGGGGCTTGTTGATCACCACTTATAGGCACAAAAACAACAACTGTATCATGGCGCTTTCACTTCCAGGGCTCCCTTTATTCCCCCTTACAACATCTCCCCATGGCTCAAATGGGCCAAGAATGTGATGTTCAAACCGCTAAAAAAGGAAATATAGGATGCGTCTGCTTCTTGCACGTGATGAACTGACAATAGCCTCCAGTTTTGAGGCCCGCGCAAAGCCGATGAGCAGCAGGGAGAAACTGAGCCAACACCTCAGTGGCAACACCTGCACCCATGACTCAATTCAAAAAGCAAGTATGGTTTGCCAAATTTCATGGGTCAGGTCAGTTCGTTCGGGATTTATGTGTTTTAAGGTCCTAAAAACGAATAATGGTTTTTTACTCAAACTTAAGGGTTTGACAAAACCAAAAAAACAAAAACAGGGATTTTGCAGCAAACCTCAAAGTGTACTATTGATGCCAGTTTCCTCGAAACAAGAATCAATTTGCTTGTTTCCCAGCGGACCCCGCCGTTTCTGCGCGCTAAGCCTTAGGGGTAAGACAGCTTGACGCGCCTGCTGAAAGGGGTTTGGGGTCATCTAAACAGAAATGAGTCTTGGCCGCCAAGAGGAAAGGGCTTGAACTGCTTTTGGGGAATAACTTAACTATGAAACCGCCTCTTCTGTACGAGCAAAATGCGTTGTTCTTGAGCCCAAATTCTGCTCGCATTTTGGCTAGATTGGGCTTGCAATTGCAAGTGTTCACAAAGAAAGCAGTGACCTGCAACAAATCCTGCATGGACACATTGTTTGGGTTTTGGCCACACACTACATAAAACGGAGCAGAACTGTTTTTCTTGGTAGGCGTTTCTCAGAGGCCCCAGGTTCCCCGCGAACCAACTCCGAACAAACTCCGAACGAACTCCGAACTCCGAACGAACTCCGAACGAACTCCGAACAAACTCCGAGCAAACTCCGGACAAACTCCGAACGAACTCCGAACGAACTCCGGGCGAGCTCGGAACAAACTCCGAACAAGCGAACAAGCTCCGAGCGAACTTTGTCATTGGTTGATTTCCGAACAAACCCCCGAGCCAACTCCGAACACACTTTGGCCATAAGTACGTGTTTGAGCAAAAGTATTTTGGTGGTTTAAACTGTTTTTTGGCTTTTTTCGGGATTACCAAAAGTTGCCAAGTGATTACAGGGGCCAGTTTCAACAAGTGGCCTGGGAAGGCGTTCAGGGCTGGATTTGTAGGACTTGAGAGCTGCGGAGGGCTAAAATCGCTACCGGGGTGATCTCGCAGCTTGGTTGGCGCTGAGGCTCGCTGTTGAAGCTGAAACAAAGTTTAATCTGCTTGACCAAGGCTTAATCCGAAAAAAAACCTTATTCCAAAAAAAAAAGCTTGTTGGCGCTGAGGCTCGCTGTTGAAGCTGAAACAAAGTTTAATCTGCTTGACCAAGGCTTGAATGTTTTCAAAAGAGCTTCTGCGAGCGCCCAGTTGAAATCCAGCCAAAACACCCCGAAATCTGCGACAATTGTTTCGACAATTGTTTCGCAAAACCCTGTGGCCCAAACAATTGTTGCAACAATTGTTGACAAAACCCTGGGGGCCAAAGAATTGTTGCAACAATTGTTTTGACAAAACCCTGGGGGCCAAACAATTGTCGCAACAATTGTTTTGACAAAGCCCTGGGGCCCAAACAATTGTTGCCACAATTGTTTTGACAAAACCCTGGGTCCCAAACAATTGTTGCAACAATTGTTTTGTCAAAACCCTGGGGCCCAAACAATTGTTGCACCAGTTGAACCTGGCAAAACATAGGCATGCAGACAGAACTGCTGCAACCAGTTGTGCAACTCACAGACGCAGCATTTCTTGAAACGTTTTGGTGCTGCAGCAGTTGTTGGACAACTTTGGTGTTGGGCCGGCATGCGATTTCAGTCAGCCGTGTTGCAACTGTTTGGTGCCGCCGTTTGTCAGGCGTCAAGCCTTGCGACTCTTGTAACTTGTAGTTGTAGCCGCCTGGCCTTTTGCAAGCCCCCAGGCGCCTTGAGTGGCCATGGGCCATGGCTTCTTTGATGGACATGGCCCGCATTGCGGCGGCAGCTGCTCAGGCCCCAGCAGCCTTGCGAGCTCCAAGAGCTCGGCTGGGCAAATGGGGAAAACGCATGCGCCGCACAGCGCGAATGCATCAGCTGCGGCGGCATCTGAAGCACAAGGCTGACAGTTTGAGACGTCAGGCCGTAGCTAACAACGCCGGCGGGCGGAGCAGAACCATTGACCACCTGCTGCCCATCGCAGAAGATGGCCGCAGGGCCAAGCCGTCTGGCAAGGGAGGCTGGAAGAAGTGGACGCCTGAGGCGCTGTTGAGGGCAGCTTTTGCCAGCGAGAATGCGGCGCTTCGCCAAGTTGCGCAAGAAGTTGATGGAGCCAGCGCAGCGCATGCGCGGAGAGCCAGGCTTTTTGTTGCTCAGCTAATCGAGCAAACGCAGCGGGAAGGCATGGACCGTGAGTGCCGCCAGATGGCGCACGCTGCCACTGAGGCTGGACAGGGCCCTCTCTTCCACATTCTAAACATCATGTTCGACGAGACAGAGCTAGATGTCGCCCTGCACGGCCTTGGGCCTGGTACATGGTCCATTTTGGCATCCCACGCGCAGATCAGCGTGCGCGCAGCCGACCAGACCCGAGACTACGACATCGTCCGCCCCCCTCAGGCCTTGCCAAACAAGACTGCGCCCTGCATGTTTGGCGCGCTCTGTCAGAACCTGGGCGGCCTTTGGCCAAGTGAGTGCTCGCTTCCCAGTAGTTTTGGTGACTTGTGACCAGTTTAGTGCCAACATACGGCTACTGAAGCACTTGCATGCGTCTTTGCCAGAACATTGTTACCTGCTTCCGAACTTATGCGCCCAACATAGGAATGGCAATGTCGTCGAGAGGGTGACAAAAGCTCTCGGCGTGCTCCCTGGTGCTTTCTGCGTTGCGAAAACTTTGAGCCGAGGGCAGAAAATGAGGAGCCTGATTGCAGCCGTCAAGACAGCCTTGCAAGGAACGCTCATTGTCCTGCCGCAGGAGCCCCCAGGCTTGCAAGCCGAGTGGTTAGCCGGCAGGCAGCACGCTGCCCAGTTTTTGGAGCTCGCCTTTGGCGCAGTTACTGAGAACAAGCGCCGGGCACGGCGGGCCCAGGAGTTCTTGGCCTTCTTCGCCGGGCCCTGGTCAGGACTGACCTGTGAAAGGTGTGTGCATGCAAACGGTCGGGGGTGGTTGGGGGGGGCATGTTCAGGCACACAACTTGCAGTGCAACTAACATGGAAAAGGGGAAATCTCATGGAGAACCTACTGCTGCACTGAAAGTTTCCAGGGCCTGGCTTGTCATTTTTATTCCAGGCCCTGGCCTCATATCTGAACCTTGAGTTTTACACCGGCTCCTGTTATCTGAAATGATTTCCAGGGCCTGGCTTGCTGATTCATGGCTGGCCCTTCTGCATGTTTATTCCAGGCCCTGGCCTCTGATCTAAACCTTGAGTTTTACACTGGGTCCTGGTTTACCTCTGACATGATTTCCAGGGCCTGTAGTTGCTGCTTGCGGTTGTGCCCTTGGTTCATTTCTGCAAGACCAGACAAGACATGAAAGTGGCCTGTGGCCGAGTTGTGATATGGCCTGTGGCCGAGTCTTCGTCGGGAACGCAGGCTGCGCTTGTCCACGGCTTTGCGTGACCGCTTGTTGTTCGTCAGCAGCCGTTTTGCTCAAGTTCACGCGCTAGCCCTGGCGACTCTCAGCCTTGGGTTGCCAGCAATGGCTGACAGTCGCTTCGTGGAGGCCTCCACGTTCGGGCTGGGCAAGTGCTTCCTGCCTGGTGACTTGAGGAGCAGCCAGCTCCGCGGCCTCTGGCCTAGTCCTGAAATGGGTGAGACCGGCTTTGCCGAAGGTCTTGGCATTTTGAAGGACTACTTGGTCACTGACGCGTATGGCGGTGTCAGCGCAGTGCGCTACGCACGAGACGAGTACAACCGGAGGCATGGTCGCTCAAAGAGCGGCAAAGTAGTTCAAGCATGATCGGCTTACCCAGGGCTCAAAGGCCAAAGGCCAAAGGCTACCGGGTAGGGAAGGGGGTCAAAGTACTGTTAGGTCGAAGCCCCCAGCCTGAGCCTGACTGCTTTTGTAAGCCCAAGAACGAAGTGATGTTTGCTTGCTCCATGTTCTCTGTAAACCTTTCAGGAGCCCAATGCACGTCATGCTGGACATCCCAGGGGGCGGCAAGCTGTGGCTTGGAGGACAGGCAGCGCTGACGCCCAATAGCCTCATGCAGAACGAGATCAGTGTTGTCTGGCCTGCTTGCAGGGCGGTTGTAGGTGAGGAGGAGACCTGCTGCGCGCGCTTTTTGGAGCCCGTGGACGGCACGGCCGTTGTCCACAATGACGTGCCCCTGGCCCAGTTGCTCGAGCTTGTGGACGAAGTCATCCGCCTCTTGGTCGTGGAAAAGCGCTCCGTGCTTTCGGTGTGCAGGAACGGTGCCCACAGGTCTGCGACCTTGTTGTGTCTTACTCTTATGAGGCTTTTCGGGTGGACGGCGCAGGAGTGCGAGCGTCACGTGACGCAGCTTCGCAACATCGTCGACATGCGCAGCAGGGCGCCCCCAAGCGCAAGGCGTGTGAACACGGTGCGTCCTGTGGACTGGTTGGCTGAGGTCTCTGACCAAGTTCGGCAAGACCGCCCGGTCTATGATGTTGCCGTGAACCAGATGTGCACCCCTCTTCAGCTGACCCAGAAAGCGCTGAGTCTTGGCTTTGTCAATAGGTGCTTTGTGAGGAAGGTGCGAAAGTTGGAGGCGCCTATGTCAGGCCCAAAGCCTGGCGAGGGCCGCGAGGGTGACGTCACCGAGTCAGACGCTGGAAGCACGGTCCTTGTGGGCAGGAAGGAGCGCTCGTCCAGCGGTGATGGCGCGGACACCTCTGAGGCTCCTGCGTCTGATGCTGAGTGCTCCTGGGTGATGGCCGGCGGTGGCAGTCCACAGTCCACGCCTCGTGGATCTACTTGCAGCGTGGACTCCGACATGGCCGCTGAGCTCCGCCAGCGCAAGTTGAACAAGCTGGTGGCAAACCTGAGGCAGTTGGACCAGAAGGTGCTGGCCCTGACAACAGCGCCTGAGGGCTCGGCCAGTGTCAAGGGGCAAGATGGCGAGGCTCAGGGCTCGGCCCCAGTCCAAGAGATGGAGAACCAGAAGGATGCAGCGGCCACGGACGCCAACACCGCCGAGAGGAAGCTGGA